TATTCTGTCTGATGGGGATTCTAAGCTTAGATATTTAACAGTACGAAGCCCACCTACCACAAATGGTAACAATCTGGTCAGTCTGCCTGCATTAAGAATTCAGTGTATGCCTCCAATTTGTTGCTGCCATCAGTTAATTTAACTTTTTGTGTTCATTTTTTACAGTGTCCATCTGCCAAATCAGGGACCTTTAAGCCATGGTCTGTGAGGGTATAAAAGGGAAGTTTAAGGAACAAGGGCTGTTCATGAAGCTGGTTTTACCCCAGGGGACCAAAAAGAAAAACTCTGTAGCAGAAAACCAATCTGTATTCATGCGTCTCATCCATTGATTCATGAAGCTCTATAATCCAATTGTTGAATCATCAATTCCATGAGGAAAGGGTATTCATCGCAGGTTATTGCTGGGATGAAAATGTAAATGAAGAGTAAATTGATGGCTTTGCTGTCTGTGTAATTGAAAATCTTACAAGGTTCATTTAAGTTTGCTGCAAGAATCAGAGAAATGATTACAACAAGCTTGTTTGTAAAAGCATTTATTTTTGTTAAGTATGATTATAAAACTCTGAGATGTGTAAAACTGGGGAGGACTTGGATGTGCTAAATCCAGTCAAAATGGCCTTTTTTCCTTTTTGCACTTTGAAGTCGCTAACCAGAACTGGTGTAAGCAGATATTACTTTGTTGACTTAAATGGAGTGTTGCTCACTTATATCTGGTTGGATTTTGGCCTCTGTTTTATGACATTTAAATGGCTGCACTGATTGATTCATAGATTCCAAAGCCAGAAAAGACCATTGTGATAATCTAATCTGACTTCCTGTATAACAGAGGCCATAGAACTTCCCAAAATGATTTATAGAGCAGCGCTTTTAGAAAAACATCCAATCTTGATTTAAAAATTGTCAGTGATGGAAAATCCACCATGACCTTTGGTAAATTGTTCGTTCCAATGGTTAATTATCCTTTCTGTCAAGAATGTATGCCTTATTTCCAGTCTGAATTTGTCTAGCTTTAATTTCCAGCCATTGGATTGTGTTTTACCTTTCTCTGCTAGATCGCAGAGCCCATTACTAAATATTTGTTCCCGATGTAGGTACTTACAGACTGTAATCAAGTCACCCTTAACTTCTCTTTGTTAAGCTAAATAAATTGAGTTCATTGCGCTTATCACTATAAGGCATGTTTTCTAATCATTCCTGTGGCTGTTCTCTGAACCATTTCCAATTTATCAACAATCTTTTTGAATTGTGGGCGCCAGAACTGGACATCGTATTCTAGTAGCAGTCACACCAGTGCCAAATACAGAGGTAAAATAACCTCTCTACTCCTACACAAGATTTCCCTGTTTATGAATCCCAGGATGGCATTAGCTTTTTTGGCCACAACGCCATGTTGGGAGCCCGTGTTTAGCTGATTATCCACCATGACCCCCAAATCTTTTTCAGGGTCACTGCTTCCCAGAATAGAATTGCCCATTCTGTAACTATATCCTACATTCTTTGTTCCTAGATATATACATTTACATTTATGTATATCAAAATGCATATTGTTTGCTTGCACCCAGTTTACCAAGTTTCTAGGCTAGACATTTTAAAATACTTATATCTAAAATTCAGCTCAAAACATTATGGCTGGGTGAGAGAATATTGCCCTGTGTTCAGACACTACTCCCTATTGTAATAATTTTTGTACAAAATATGCCTTATAAGTATTATTTGAAAACTCATAATTTGCTGATCAGTATCATCCTGCTAAAATAAGTATGGCAACATTATGTGTGAAGCTATAAGATTCCGCTGTATAGTGTTATTAACACGTTCCAAACTGAGATTGGCAAACAGGCCTGTCTTAAACAAAGAAATGTGTACTCTACTTAATTTGCATTTGATCAATAAACAGTAAGCAAGAAGGGGAAACAAAGGAAGCTTAAATAGGTGAGGAAAAAGCAGCAAGAACATCCTTCCACATAGACTTTTTGTCTCCTGGTACCCAGCTGGAAATGTTTTCCCAGAGAGGGACTGAAACTATAAAAACAAGGGACAAACACTCCAAAACACTCCGATCTCTCTCCTTGCCCATCACATTCACTGTACCCGAAGCAACAAAGGAAGCATTTGTTGAACTCTGGGAAGAGGGGTCCTGACCTTAGTGGTTTGGCAAGTAAGACTGTTGAAGGCATGTGGTGAGAAAACTTTGCTTTGAATTTAATATAGTTTGTTAAGTTAGGTACGAGTTGCATTTTATCTTTATTTTTCTTGTAACCATTTCTGACTTTTATGTCGCACTTAAAATTTTGTATTCACTTAAAATATCTTTCTTTATAGTTAATAGACTTGTTTCATTGTTTTATCTGATCCAGTGTGTTTAAAATTGAAGTGTCTAAATAACTGTTTGAAATAATAAGTTGACATATTATTCCTTTTAAAGAAATAACAGACTTAATGTAACTTGCAGGAGAGGGCTGGTCAGTACACGACATACAAATCTAAGACTGAGGGTGTGTTGGGGTCACCTGCAATGTAACCCAGGCTGGCGAGAACCAGAGTGTAATCCAAGCGCGGCTGCCAGGCTGTAGTTGCTCAGAGATACTCAGGGTGTGGCTTTCATGCTGGAAGGCTGTTTACGAGTGGCCCAAGTGGGAGCTATCAGCAAGGCATTGTAAGGCACCCAAAGTTCCAGGGCAGGGGTGACACAGCCACACATTAGTTTGGACTGTACCCTGGTATGTCTCAGGCTCTCATGTCTGAAAAAAAGGAAATTTACTAGGGCTGTTGATTAATTGCAGTTAACTCGTGATTAACTCAAAAAAATTAATCACAATTAAAAAAATTCATCGTGATTAATCACACTGTTAAACAACAGTATACCAATTGAAATGTATTAAATATTTTTGGATGTTTTTCTACATTTTCAAATATATTGATTTCTATTACAACATAGAATACAAAGTGTGCAGTGCTCACTTTATATTGCCATTTTTTATTACAAATATTTGCACTGATACCCTGGGACTGACCCAGCCACAACAACACTGCATATATTCTTTTAATTAGCACTGTTGTTGTCGGTACCTTTGTCACATGAATGTGTATGAAATTCTGCATTAACTGGACATTATCACAAAATAAACATTTATAAATGTTATTCTAGAAGTTAGTGCATTAATAATGGACATTTTAACAGATTTGTAATGACATTTTAGTAATACCAAGCTCATATATAGCACTTTTCAACAATAGATCTCAAAGCACTCTACAAAGGAGTCAGTATGATTATCCCCATTTCACAGATGAGAAACAGAAGCACAGTCATCCAGCACGTCAGAGGCAGAGCTAGGAATAGTAATCAGGTCTCCTGAGTACCAGGCCTGTGCCCTATCCATTGGGCCACACTGCCTCACTGTTTTGTGCTTCAATAGCACTGTCCATTTCAAAAGCTCAGTGGTTGACACATTTATTAATTAAACTACACAATATCCCATTGACTTTTCCAGTTTTCCAGACAATAATGAGCATAAATATCCATGTAGCTCTAGCACCATATGGTAACCTGCACTCCAGGACTCTTGGAGAGAGGTCACACTCTTTTAAAGCCTCTCCCTAAGAACCATTGCTTTTCATATTCACTCAAGAAGTGCACATTATGCAGAGAGAGGTTTATAGTAACCACTTAGCTGTGTTGTTATGAAAAGCATTTATTAAGGTAAGCGCTGATACTTTATTCATCTCAACATGTCATGTCAAGTTGGCTGAGACAAGACAGAATATACAGTAATATATCAATAACTGTAGTTCATCTGCACAACATATCTGTAACCTAGCAAAGTGAAATGGTGAGCGCTTACAGATCCTACTCGCTGAGATTTTGCCCATTAAGCCCAGAACCATGAAAGGACGCACAATGCTTCCCAGAGTTCCTAGGGAGAGCAGCCACTGTGCCACCTAAAGGAGCATATCTCTCTGGGCCAGCCAGCTCTGTTGGCCAATGCAGCAGCAGGGATATGAGCCTATGAAAATGGAAACTAGAAATGGTAGAACAGATAGAGCAAAGCTATGGTTAGTGCAAGGCCTTCTTCAGGACATGCCAGGAATGGAAACACGGTCAGCATTTCCCCACAGAGGGCCTCACAGTTCAAATGTTGCCTCTATTTTTTTCTCTTGTAGAACAAGTTGTTTTGCTTATTTTGTAGGCTCCCTTCTTGTTGGGACATGTGTGTATGGTAGGGATATGATTACAGGCTGTAAAGGGAGATGCTTCCAACCCCAAAGGTGGGTAGAATCTGGGAAATGAAATGGGGGGGTATTCAGGGCTCCACTGGGGCACAGAAAATTGCTGAAGGAATGATGTTGATGGAGATGCGACTGCCTGTGCTTTGTTGTGGTCTCTAAGCAAACCTGCTCCGTGAAATACTGTTTTTTCTCAAAATTGTCTTGTCCTTAATGGGCTTTCTCATGGAAAAAGTCCTCAAGAATCATAGGAAGTGCTACATCAAAATACACCTATCTATCTGTCCTATGCATTTCTAGAGCCCCCGTCACTGCAGTATTTAAACACAGGGCAATGATCAGTCTAGTTCGGTATCCTGTCTCTGACAGTGGTCTGTACTAGAGTCATCTTTGGAAGGTGCGGCCCTGCGTGATGCGCTTGGACAACTGTACAGCACTGTACCATGGAGGGAGGGTTTTTCCTGACTCCAGCTGGTGATTAGCTTGAATTGTGAAGCATTTGCTTTTAGAATAACAGAATCATAGAAATGTAGAGCTGGAAGGGACCTCGAGAGGTCATCAAGTCCAGCCCCCTGCGCTAAGGCAGGACCAAGTAAACCTAGATCATCCCTCACAGGTGTTTGTCCAACCTGTTTTTAAAAACCTCCAATGATGGGGGTTCCACACCCTCCTTTGGAAGCCTATTCCAGACATTAACTACCTTTATTGTTAGAAAGCTTTTCCTAATATTTAACCTAAATCTCCTTCCCTGCAGACTAAGCCCATCACTTCTTGACCTGCCTTCAGTGGACAGGGAGAACAATTGATCACCACCTTCTTTATAACAGTCCTTAACATATTTGAGGACTGTCATTGGATGGCTACTCTCTGTAACTGTTCTCCTAATTACTTGCTCCCTTCAGTACTGGGGAGGTCCCAAAGCAAACTGCTAGAAAACCGGAAGGCAGCAAAGTCCCAGCGATAGAAGTGAGCCAGCTGCCTCCTTTCTTTGAGTGACAGCTCGCTGAGTAACTGCTCTGATAGCCAGCTATAAGTGCTCCGGATCTGCGAGTCTGTGAACTCGGGCAGGTGGACATCCATTGGCAGCCCCATGCGACGCATTAGGTGATGCACCTCCCTGTTGAGGAAGCCAAACATCATCACGTAGTCATACTGGATGAGGCATGGCCGGCACAGGCTGACCAGTGGCTTCCACTCCATGCTGGCATTCTGGGGTCCCCTGTTTAAAATGCTCTGGATGAACTCTTTGAAAGTTAGGCCATCTGCCATTCTCTGCATGTAAGCCGAGATGAGTCTCTGGAAAGGGTCCCTGACGAACAGCACTTTGGTGTAGGATCTCAGCATAGCCTCCATTGCTGTCAGGTTGTACTCACTGAGTCGCTTCTGTAGACCACGCTGCTGGGGCTGGCGAACTGGCACCTCCAGTGTCACATCTGCTTTCTCCTCTAGCACCTCCAAAAGCCATTCCCAGATTTCCAGCCCAATTGCTGGTACTTGGCAATACAGGAAATCCAGCTTGGTGCTCACTGCGATCCTTGAAAGCACCTCGGCTGCTTGTTGCTGGCTGGCTGGAAGCTTGGTGACTTTAGCAGTTTTGCTGCAGAAGGACCTCAGTGTCTTTTTCCTGAGCTGTTGAACATAGAGGAGGGTGTCAAATGTCAAAGGTAAATCATCCTTCATGTCTGCTTCCAGATCACCTGCAAAACAGCATTTGGATACTGGGCATTATTCCCACAAGACAGCTACATAAGGAAACCTAGGGCAACATTCTCCACCCATACCAGTGCTGCAGGATTCTACACTATGGTGTGGGACAGGCAATGTAAGCAACACAGTGTCTCCACAGACACTGAATCGACCTAACTACATTGACTTAAGCGTTATAAAGTTGGCTAGTGGGTGACTTACATTGGCGGAAGAGACATTTTAATGTAGACGCTTACAGAGCTGGGTAGACGTAAGCTTGAAGAAGAAAACTCTATACCTCATTAGACATCTTTATCTTACCTGCAAAGCATCATGAGAATCCTGCTCCGAGGCAAGCTTTAAAATCTTTCTTAGCCTATCTTAAGTGTCAACATGAGTAACAATCCGGATTTGGCCTAAAGAAGTTTTGCCTGTGTAAGGATTCCAGGTTTTAGTTGAGCTGGGTTTAATAACTAGCAAAAATAGTAAGACACATTATAAAAACCATAGGAATGGTAAATTGATTTGTGAGTTAGAACATACTCACCCCCTGATAGCCTCTTTTGAGTTGATGATTAATATCAGAACACATTATGGACTCAGGAGCTATCAACGGTATGTTAAATCATGAGATATTAATTAAAGACTAGGGGTAGCATTTCCGAAAGTGGCTTAGGAGCTTGTCATTAAAAAACAAAAGAACTTAGGCTCCTAAATTCCCCCCCAAATGACTTAAGCTCCTAAGTCACTTAGGCATGTTTGAAAATATTACCGCAATCATTTTTTTTAAAAAAGCAACTGCCCAGTCCTTTTTTGTGATGATTGCTTTTAATTTGGCAAATTTTAATTTCACTCCTTACTTTTTCTAATTTGATTTCTAAAATGAAGGGGACTCTGTCAGCTTAAAACTCACACTAATGTTGGAGTGCTAGGTATGTTTTCCTTACTATTGTTACAGGTAACCCATATGGAAGGCTACTGATTTTCAGTTTTAACTGATAAGCATTGATAAAACACATCTAATTTTAAAAAAGGAAGAAATTGGTGTTTATCCAATAAACACTGGAAAAACACCAGAAATGGTTACTTTTATCTACACAGAGCAATAATAAGAACCTCGGGGGTGTATTTCTACAGCACATGAATGCATTGTGTATTATTTGGCTCATGTAGACTCTGCTGTTGTGCAGTAAAGGTTTCCGACTGCGATTTGACATAGTGCTGTTTGAAACAGTAACAATACTATGTTAAAGCACACTAGGGAACATTACAAAGAGATTACTCATTACGGTATATACTACACATAATGTCTACAATATACATTACTCATTATAGTAGATACAAAGAGAAAGCCTCAGTCCCCCCTGATTTTTGGATAGCTACATACAACTCGAAAATTGCTAATAATAAAGCCTGAACAATGACATTAATAACCGCCCCCCAAACCAGTAGCCCTACTCATATGTCTATCCTAGCTAAAAGAGATTAGAGAAAAAGACTTAGTCTCTATTTTATCAGTTGTTCCTATATGCATCTGGCAGCTCTTAGGGGATAGTCAGTTTCCCCTGGGTAGTTGGATAGTTTGCCCATTTCTACTGTTGTTTGGGCGGATCTTTCATTCAGCAACAGGGAAGTGAAAACACATTAAAACTAGGAAAGGCCCATTGGAAAGACAGGGAGCAAGGGATTCAGGGACACAACTGGTGTCTGGAATTACTTGTAACTTCTTTTGACTGACTACATTTCAAACGGATGGTGTCTGCCGAATTTAGTGCTGGACTGAGAGCTCTGGAAGAAAGAATTCATCTCTTCATCCACTGATCAGGTATGAAGTACAGAAGAAGTGCAACCTTCCCCCCACCCTCTCGCACAGTCCCACCAATATTCCTCCATGTGACCGGAAGCTACAGAGCCTGATCCTCCACCCTTCTCCACTGTGTGCAGTCATCTACCCCAGTGCAAAGTGGGTTTTCAATGTGACCCCACAGGAATGCTAGTGTTTAATCCCCACACTGCTCTCACCATGCACTGGTATAAATGACTGTACAAGGAGGAGTGCAGCAAAGAATCAGGCTCCTGAGGCACAGGGCTGGAAGGGGGTAGTTCAGTCTCTGTGGCCTAGTCAGTCCTTGGCATCTCTGCTTATGACAAGGGGGCCAATAGTGCCAGTTGTGGGGATGTCTTTCATGATGTGGACATTGGTCCACTGAGAACTGGACAGGAAACCACCAGTTCATTTCACAAGAGCCATAAAAGAGCTGCCAGCTGGTAACGAATTTCAGTCACCACCAAACTGGGCAGACTGGGGTGTTTAAAGGACAATAGAAAATAATGTTCAAAGCTTTTCTGACCTGTCCTGCATCACCGTGAACAGGCAAACATTACCTCTTCTCTGGGAAGGGTGACTCCTGAGAAAATGCCCCCACCACAAGAGGGAAAGGCAGCAGAGCAGAGCCAAGGTGAGCAGGCGGAGGAGGAACCGCATCTTGGGCAACTCTGAGCTGCCCCACCAGGAGCTGACAACGACAGCAAAGAGCAGGCATGGGCCCGACATAAAGGCAAGAGAACATTTCTCTGTGTGTTTACTCAGGAGCAGGGTTAAAGTACTGTTTGTCCAACAGCGCAGCTCACGGATAGCCGTCCCCAGTGTCAGAGAAACCTCTGAGGAAAAACAATTCCCACAGGAAGGTTACACAGTGGAGTCTCCTACCCATGTCTATCTTTAGCCGTTTGCTGTCTCTTGTCTTCTACGTGGACTGTAAACTCTTTGCCCCCTGGATTGTCTTTTTGCTCTGTTTGTACACTGCCTAACACAGTGGGGTCCTGGTCTCTGACTAGGGCTCCTAAGCACTCGAGTAATACAAATAACAAATAATAGTATACAAGCAGATATAGTGCCATCAAACCAAGGAAGTGACCTCGTAATTCCTAAGGGAAGTTGAGGGTCTGGCAGAGGGTAGCCATGTCTGGTCCCCGATATGGGATCATTCTGAGGCACTCTGCTCAATAGCTTTTGTTTTGTTTTGCACTTAGCGATGTTATCATTATTTGTCCTATTGTGGCATCTAGAGTGGCGGTTCTCAACCAGGAGTCCCCAGGGTTCTCCTTACCCTCTGCGGGTAGGACAAGAAGCAACGGGCTTAAACTGCAGCAAGGGAGGTTTAGGTCGGACATTAAGAAAAACTTCCTAACTGTCAGAGTGATTAGGCACTGGAATAAATTGCCTAGGGAGGTTGTGGAATCTCAGTCATTGGAGATTATTAAGAGCAGGTTAGACAAACACCTGTCAAAGATGATCTAGATAATACTTAGTCCTGCTATAAGTGCAGGGGACTGGACTAGATGTCCTCTCAAGGTCCCTTCCAGTCCTATGATTCTATGATTAGCTCCGGCCCAATTTGATGGTGCCTGATGAATCTTGATGTTAACAAAGGCTGTAAAATCAGTATTTTTTTAACCTTCTCTTTATGCAGAGATGTGCTCCTCGCCAGGGGCTTCCATCCATGGCATATAGCCCTGCAGCCATGTCGCCTCCTGGGAGAGGCCCAGCCATGCTGGCAAGTTTTCAGCTCAGGGAGGCACTCTTCCATGGGAAGGAATTGGTTGCAGCTTAGCCTCTGTACCCAATGAGTCCATGCTACTTAAAGGCAGGAAAATGGAGCTACTTTCCAACAGCCAGGGAAGGGAGGGAGGGAGCTCGAGACTGATAGCAAAATGTCCTTTGTAGTGATTAGTGTGCATGCGTTGTGTGGCTGTTATGGAATTAAGCAGCATGGTATCAAATCTGTGGGAGGGATTTTTTGTGTGTGTGCAAGTGTTTTGTTACACAAGAACCTCGTAGAAATATGAAACTGAAAGCCCAGAGGGCATTTTTCTTACCCTGGTCTCCTGTGAAGGAACGGAGAACATTCATGCCAGCTGCACAGAACCTGCACCGAACCTTCCCTATCTTGGCTCTTAAATGTTTCCTTGTAATTCCTACCGGCAGTTAAGCTCTATATTTCCACTAGAGGGGGCTCCAGACATGAGAAATCATTGCAGATTCCAATGCGTGCCTGCTGGAAAACAGAGAATAGAATGTGGTTATTTATAACACAGCCCCTTTCCTGCTGCAATATAAATAAATGTTTAGGTTAGATGCGTTTGTAGTAATGGCTGTGGGTGTAGGAACCAGCTGGGTCTCAATGAGCTCATGGGGTTCAGATGGGAATCTCAGGCACTTGCTGAGAAATGTCATTGGCAACATTCTTTCGTGACAGTATGTTAGTGCTACAGAGGAAGCCAGGCAGTGAGAACCCCTCAATGTCAGGGCCTCATTTCCAAGGCAAGGACTGAGCATCCCTGCCCATGCAGTACTGCCCATCACCACTGTGCATGCCCCCGGCACGTGCACTGACAAATTCAACAGAGGACAGCACTAAAGAGGTCAGAGTCACAGGTGAACTTTCACAGGGCATGCAGAGAAGTAGTGGGCTAATTTTTTACCCATTGCCCATAGAAACACAGTTTGAATAGCGCCTGGGTTTGGACTATCAAAGGGACTAGATTACCCAGGCGGCAGCAGCGTGGGCTCCTTTGCTCGCTTTCTAGTGGAGGACAGGCACGGAACTTTGCATCCAGTTGCAAAACCATGGTAAGGAATCAAATCTTCAGTGTACAGCCCAGCCAGTACGGCGGTGCAAGAGAGAGATCCAGACCTGAAGGTAACAGAAACAAACTATTTTCTCCATGCTACAGGAGAGGATGATGCCTGGAATCAAATGAGGGGGAAATAATAATATCAAGCACATTTCCTCCATAGAACTCAAAGCGCTTTACAAGGGAGGTCACTATAGTTATCCCCATTTTACAGATGGGGAAACTGAGGCACAGAGTAGTGACGTGATGTGCCCAAAGTCACTCAGCAGGTCAGTGTCAGAGCCAGCAATAGAGCCAAGGTCTCCTGAGTCCCAGCCCAGTGTGCTATCCTGTAGGCTACAGAACACCTCTTGTTAATCAGTAGCAAATGTTTAATAAATAGATGGGCCAGAAGAGAGTGAGGAGAAGTCCCTCTATTACGCATTTGTCACTGGAACCCGGATGGCACCTCCTCCTTTATTTAAAAAATGCTCTCGTATTCTACAGGACTGATCCAAACTCTGCCACTCCTAGCAGGGTTACAACTGAGCTGCTGCTATGAAACGGTGTCATATATTTTTATCAGGGCTGATCAGGGTAAAGTCATAAGATAAAAGTGAAGAGACAGTCTCTGGCTGAAAAATAAGTGTATTCCACCTTTGTACATTCATTTCAAGAAAGTGATGTCTATAAAACTTTGGCAGCCTAAAGCTAAACACGAGAAACAAGCGAACTATAGCTACTGTGTATTCAAGGCTTGATGTACAGTGAAACCCCCCCAAAGAGATGATAAGCAGCATTATGCTGTGAATCAAAAGAGCTGACTGAGTTCAGTGAGGGGCTTTATTGTTTCTGCTGAGTAAATGTCTCTGGGCTCTCATCAACAGGATTACGACACACATTCAGATTCATGTTTGTTAATCTAGTGTAATAAACGTATTTCAAAAGCTGTTTGATTCAGCTAACCCCTGCCTGCAGTTTTGCACTATGGCCACCAGAGGTTGCCAATAGGTTGAACCTAAATGCGGATGGGAGGTTTTTGTGTGTGTTTTCTGCTGGCAGGTGCTGGGGCAGTGAGGAGCAGCTATTGTATGACAGTTAGATGCTGGCAATAGTGCTCTGCCAACACGATCGTTCTGCCTCTCAGATGGACTTGAACAATATGATCTTACCTCTATACAACCCTGTCCTCACGCAGACCTGTAACATGGAGACATAGGGCTCAAGCCCCAGCCAGGCCTGAGCTGAACTAGCAGCCACCAAAGAGATGACTTTGAGTCCTTTTCTTCCTGCCCTGCTCTTGGGTCTGGCCAGTGGCTGACCTAGCCCCTGCCAACAGTTAGAACAGTCCAAGGGCTGCTCTAACATCTGCTGCTTAGCAATGCCCTGCCTCCCAGGAGCTATAAGGCCAATGAGCGAATTGTTGGAGCACTGTGTGCTCCAGTCCTGTCCCCTCTCATGGCTTGTGAATATGCTGGACTAGCAGAGCTGGACTACATGGCCTAGTAGGTCTTTTCCATCACTGGTCCCTGTGATTTACCAGCGATGCCCACAGACAGATTCTGCAAGTCTGGCCCCAGTGTCACAGCATCTATTTCTGGCAGCAAGCGTGCTGGGGACAGCAAACTCTTGTCACATGAGGGTTCAGATTATGGTGTTTGAAATGCATGCTTCTGAAGTCTGGCTGGTTTGAAGCAAAGGGGGGAGCTGACCTCTGTGCTGAGGCTGATAGGCACCAGCTTAGCCAGTGCAAATAGGGACAGTAATGCTAAACACCCACTCACAGGGACAAGTGCAGAGCCCGCCTCAGGCGCCTCTGGTGCCTGGGGCATTCTACAGTAGGCTGGGGTCATGTAGGGAGCAGACTGGGGCAGGGAAGTCACATGGCCAGGGCAATCCTGCACCTTGGCAGTTTACCACTTATGCAAGGTCCATAGGGGCTATTCCAGCTAAGGGTACAAATTAGGACAGCTCTGATCCACACCAGGGGAAGAACTGCCCCTCCCCCCCCCCGAATAGGGGAGGTGCAAGCAGGGCTGCTGAGAGTGGGTTCGGGCCCCGGTGAAAAAATTTTTTCGGGCCCCCCAGCAAGAGCGGACTGGCTAAACAGGGCCGACGAGAGGGTGGGGGGGAAGCCAGGGAAGCCGGGCCCTGGGCCCCTTTCTGGACCACCGGGCCCCAGTAATTTGTACCAGCTTCCCCCCCCTCTCGTCGGCCCTGGGTGCAAGTCACCTCGTCTCTGTCCTAGTGCTTGCCTTAGTGCTAGGGCAGGGATGAATTTCAAGACCCCTCAAAAATTGATTAACAGGACAACGTGGTGTCACTACCTAGGTCGGGGCTTGGGTCCCACCCAGGCCAATGGGGCCTGAAAGGGTGTTCCCATCTGAATCTCTTCAGTGGCCTGTATAAAATGAGTCTGATGGTCTCAGTCTTTCTCCTAGTCAGCCGGAGTCCTTGTAAACAGCATCGTTCCCACAACAGGCCTCCTGGTTTGTTCACTTAGCGCGGCGGCCGTGGACTGAGTGGGGCATGGAGACTGTGCCAGCACCCCTGGAGGTGGATCCTCCAGGACACAGTTGAGATGCACTGTGAGGTCAGCATGGGGGAAAACTCGCATAGCTGCTCTCCCCGCCCCCTGAAACTTCCAAATAGATGACTAGAGGACTCCAGGCGTAAAGTGTGTCCATGCAGCATCCATGGCCAGCATTTAACTTAGCCAAGAAAGGACAATGTACACACAGAGTGTGGTTCATTGCAAACATACAATGGTTGATACTGGAGAGTGCATCCGGGATTTATCTGACAATGCACCTCATTAAGGGCTACATCCTATACTCCTGACTTAGGCAAAACTCCCAATGAAATGCATGTGATAACACTACTTTCCTACCTCAAAAGAAAAAGCAGCAGCAGCTTCTCCTGAGAGAGGACTGCAGGATT